TCGTTAAATATAATGAAAGGTTACTGAAGTACTTCAAGGCGCTCTTTGCTAACATTTTCAATCAGAAGAGAAAAAAGATGCATTATTTGCAAACTGAAGGATTGGCCGTGACCTCTTGCGTGACATCCGCTCAGCAATTTGCATCGAATTTTTGGTCAAAATAACCCGAACTCTTTTCAAACTGGATGCGCTAATTTTTGCGGGCCAAAAACGACAGTTGGAGATTATGACCTACGAGGATAAAGCTTTCCCCTGATGTACAATATGACACGTAAATTTACATACTAGGATTTTTATAGGCCTTTAAAGTTGGCCTTTATTTCACCTTAACCCAAAAGATTGAAAGTGGGTTATTTCAACGGGTTTTTATGTTGTCTTAATCTTTACAAAATTACATGAAGTTTACATTTTTTAAAAGACAAAGGGTTCTTTTACCAATATCCAAAATAGCAGACCGGGAATTCAACGCGTTGTCGCGTACGGAGTTAGCGAAGTTGCAGAATTTTTCATTGTTTTTTCGGGGGGTCGGGCGCCGCCTCAGCGTAATTTGAACTTTTGGATTTTTCGGAAAAAGCAAAGCGCGATGGAACTTTTTATTTCCATTTTTGAAAATAGTTCACCAAAGGGGTCTTTTAGGTAGAATAAAATAAATAATGAAATTTTGCAACTGTCGGCGGATTCTCGATATTTACAGTCAGGGCCTCTTAAAAAGGCGCAATAGATGCTGGCGATTATAACCTCGGTCAAACTGAAGTAGGCCTAAATAAATGCCTAGACTAATTGTACAATCCGTTGAAAAAAGTTAAGTTTGTGCTAATGTTGGTGTGCTTTTCAGCTTAGATACTCTGTCACAGGCTTGCGAGAAGCACAGAGAACGGTTTTGGAGTATTACACAGCCATGTCTTGTTTCAGTTCATAGAGAGCTATCTGACTAAGGCAGAGCCAGGGATCCGATTTCAGTAGCCTTCTTTGATCAAGTCGCTTTATTTTCTGATTTTAACCATTTATTTTAGTCACTTTGACCAGGTTTTGCTCCCTATAGCAGTAGTGCCTTTTATATGTTGAAATAAAGCTCAGAAAACATTTCAAAAACGCTCACTGCGAATTTCATGAACAATTTTGATGCCGGAAATGTATGTTGCTCATACCAGCGGGGGGAGGGGGGGAAGAGAGGAGGCCTGGGACTGAGAAACGATGTTCTCACAACTTGCAAAGCGGTCACCCAGCGTGGTGGTCAGCGAATAATTACAGTATTTTTCCCACAGTAAAATAATATTTTCAGACTTCTTAGAAGCAAGAAGCGAACCGACAGAGGAAATCAGAAATGCTTAAAAAATTTAAAAAAATCATATCATGCATCTTTGTTTTTCTTGCTTATCGTGTTTGTCTTTCGGTACTGAAATGCGGGGGGAACAAAAACGCAACCGTACTAGATGTTAACCAACAACAACGCGCTCGATGGATTTATTTATAGGTTACATCGTTTTTGCCGGGCAAGGATAACTTGACGCTGATAAAAATTACTGTAGCAAGTGTCAAATTTATCGGAAGCAAGTATATTCAAGACAGCTTTATTAAAATGAGCTTACTGCTCTATATATCATAACTGAATAAAAATTAACACTTCATAACATTTCACTTCGTTTATTTCGATCAGTCAACACCTTGAATCCAAAGTTAAAATTCAAAACGATCCTAAAACAAATCACAACTACTACTGAAAACTCTGTGCCTTAAAGCGACTTTAACTTTCCTAAGGTTTGCAGCATAACACTGCTCGATAGCTCTGACAACTCTTCGGCGGTTCTTAGCATCTATACGGAGCTATATGTTGCATATTCCAAACTCTGCAAAGGGAAATTGTTTAACAGAAAAAGAAAACCACACACTATGTCTGAAAAGCGACATAAAATCAATAAATTTGCCAATTACCAAAATATAATGGAGAGAAACAGTCCCGCCTTCGACTGCCATGTTTTTGTTTTTTCTCAAGACCGTTATCTGTGGTTTTTGGCTTAATGCGCATGATCAGTACACAAATCCCCTGGCAAGACCCTTGCTGACCACTTTGCAAGTTGTGAGAACATCGTTTGGATTTCATTTAAGAGAATGTATGGAAAGTAGCTCCCCACTGGCTCATACAAAGCCTTTGAGTAGAATGCAAAGTTTGTCTGAGTCTCGTGGGGGGTCTAACGTGATAAAATCTGTTTTTAGTAATAGCACAAAGCGCTATTGAAATAGTGGCATTGTAGTGGCGGTGGTGACGATATAAAAAGATAGGAAACAGAGGCAGTCTTGCAACGGTAGTGGTTATGGTGGTAATGGTAGTGACACACGTAGTGTAAGAATTAATAGGGAGTTTAAGATACGGAGACTACGGATTGCGTACTACAGCTGGACGAGCGTTGTCCTTTGTTTGTAACACTGGGTTGAGTCGTGCAAATATAGAACGTTAAGATTGCACTACAGACAGTAGATACGAGAAAAGAGGCGGAGAGGGAAACAACACGCAAAGATTTTCTTGTTTTCATCACAGTTCACGTGAAATTGGTGAACAAAGTTTTGGGTACACAGGTTTTATTTTTTTCGCCCATGAATGCTTATATCAAATATTAAGGAAATAGACAGAAATAGTAATGGCTCATTTATTAGATTTAGAAGATGGCCTTCTCCGACTACTGATCTGATTTAGTTTGAAGTATTGAAATGCCGAGTTTTCATTCAGCAAATGCGATACAAAAACTCGCATCAACAAACGTTACACAAGTAGAAAGACACACTAATCAGTTCGAACAAACTTTGAAACTTTTCAAGTGCGAAGAGAAAGTAAATTACCTGCATGACAGTGGCATGATTTCCTCGGCCGTCAATCTCAATTCTGCGTATAAACAGCTAGGCTTATTTAAATATGAGCTTAGCTGGATAAAAATGTAGTCACAACAGTGGATTAAAAGCGTAAATCTGAGCAGAAATTAGACACAACTTACATATTTCGCTTCCCTCTCACTTAAAGCAGGTGAATTGAAAACTTTTTTGCGAAAAGACGAGATTCTTGAATTACAGAGACGGCAAAATACGAGCAAAATGTTCTCCGTAGTCCCGACTACGCGAAAGAGCTCAACAACTCACTGTTGCCGCAGGACTACGCGGGAAAAATGAACAGTCACGTGGTTTTTATTATGCGCAGTTGCAGAGGCGGATCTAGGGGGAGGGTGCAGGGGGTGCGCCCCCCTTGAGATGACCTGCGGTTTTCTAATACAACTGGTATTCTGCAAAAAAAAAACCATGTGGTTTAGTAGAGCAAGAGACGAGTGCACTCCCTCCTAAAAAAAACCTGGATCCGCCCCTGAGTGGCATGTTTAACCGTAGTCGTAGTCCGTAGTCGCCGTATCTTAAACTCCCTAATCTCACAGTGTACTGAGACGAGATCTGAGACCGACGAGAAACTGTGTTCTCACAACTTGCAAAGCGGTCACCTTACGTGTTGGTCAGCGGATAATTGCAGTATTTTTTCCCTTTTTTTGGAAGCGAGAAAAGAACTGGCAGAGGAAATGATTTAAAAAGTGAAAGAAAAATATCATGCCCCTTTGCTTTACTTGCATATCGTATTTGAGCTTATTTGTCTTTTGGTACTGAAATTGCGATGGAAACTGTGTTAAATCTTAACCAACAACAACGCGCTCGATCGGCGAGGACATCAGAAGATTATAGAATTTATGATGCTGATAAAAATTACTGGAGAAAATGTCAAATTTATCGGAAGTAAGTATATTCAAGAGAGCCTTGTAAATATGAACCTACGGCTGTACATATCACGCCTTCATACATATTCACTCCCCGATCTTCATAACATTTCACTCCGTTTATTACAATCAGTCAACACCTTGAATTCAAAGTTAAAATTCAAAACGATCTTAATAGACAAATCTTTTCTACTACTAAAAGCGCTGTACCTTGAAGCGACCTTAGCTTTCCTAAAGTTTGCAACAAAATACTGCTCGATAGCTCAACTCTTCGGCGGTTCTTAGCATCTATACGGAGCTATATGTTGCATATTCCAAACTCTGCAAAGGGAAATTGTTTAACAGGAACAGAAAACCATACACCATGTCTGAAAAGCGACATAAAATCAATAAATTGGCGAATTACCAAAATATAATAGTGAAGAAACAGTCCCGCCTTCGATCGCTATGTTGTTGTTCCTTTTCAAAACCGTTGATCTATGGTTTTCGACGTAATGCGCATGATCAGTACACAAATCCGCTTGCTAGACCCTTGCTGATCGCTTTGCAAGTTGAGAGAACATCGTGATTTCATTTAAGACAATGTATAGGAAGTAGCTTCCTCCTCCCCCCTGGTACTGTTAATGGAACTTGTTTGCCATCATTCAGGAAGCTGATTTGAAAAGAATCTACCGATGTACGCCTTTCTAATTCTTTGGTATTGCGTAATCAGTGGTAGTTGTGGCATTGGAATTTATGGTGGTGGTGTTAGCAGTGGTGTTGGGGGCAGTAATGGTGTTTGTAGCTGTGATGGAGGCACCCCCGCGTGAATGCGAAGACAGTGGTTGATGTTCTTGTAAAACCAAACTATTGAAACGGTTGAAGAATAAAATTGAATCAGTGGAATTGCAGTGCGTTGGTGGCGATACGGTGAGATATAAAACAGGGTTGTGAAAAGGAGGCAGTCTTGCAACGGTAGTGGATATGCTGTTAAAGGTAGCGGCACAAGTGGTGTAACACTTCAAGTTTAATCTGACTGTGTTCTGTTAATTGAACTTGTTTGCTACTATTCAGAACGCTGATATAAAAAGCATCGACCCATGAACGCTTTTATAATTCTGGCGAACCAATCAAAACCACCGTATAACTGTGGCACCACCTTCCAACCAGTTTTTAAACCAACCACCACCACCTGAAAATAGAAAGGGAAAATAATTGATGGTCTCTCTATAGCTCTTCCCACATCGTATTAATGAAATCAACACAATACGCAATAACGTCATCGGCTTTAATTTATTCCAATATCATACCACTAAAATTTACTGTCACTAGTTACAGGAAAAAACAAGGCCATTTTGTCTGTCTTGTTCTATGGAGAAATAAACAAAACTCATTTTCTAATACAACGCATTCTATCTTGCCGCAAGAGCGGAAAACGATCTCGATTAAGGTTAAGCACTTTCGAAAGGCGAACGTAAACAAAGGGACGCAATGTCTTTCTCTCTGTCAACGCCCACTTTTTGTTACGATTTATTTCTACGTCGTCCATTCTTCGTGACCGAGAGCTCCGTTCGAAGGCTTGGTTTAGAAAGCACAATGTTCTCATATGATCTCTTGCCAAACTGTAATTTAGGAAACAATTTAGTAACATCACCTCAAAGTTAAGAGACATGTGACAGAAGTGTAGAATAACTCAAAACAAAACTACAAAAACTTTTTTTTCCGGCACAGACGCAGGTTTTGTGCTCATAAATGAAACTGACTTTTTAATGGAAGCTAACGACTCAGATCAAGAGAAATAAAACATATGAACCACGCATGGGATTGTTTTGGTGCCGTTTTAAAAAAATTGTATCATTGTAAATAGAATTGGAGGCAGTGAATTTCATTTCCATTTGTAAGATGCATTTTAATGTTGATAAGAACAGCACCTTAAAAAATCCATATATTCGTCGTTTTCATAACCAGCATTCATTGTACCAGCACGCTCTCGTTCGCGGTAAACAGACCATCCGCGATCCGTCCTTTTAAGGCCAAAGTAGTTGAGGCAAACTAGAGGGTTATCATAGCTAGTGCTTGAGTCAGTTATTATCTACGAAGGTTGTTTAGTGGAAGCACTTGAAATTCCAATTCCATTTTTGGTGGATTTAATGAAAATTAACACAAAAAATGTTATCATTTTTTAATGGCAAGCTATCTTAACTCTTTTACGAAAACATAACATCTGAATCTATGTGCTAACGAATCGATGCATTCGATCCTACGGAAATCAATTTTGAGAAAAAAAAACATTCCTTAGTAAATTGGTGATCATTTTAGTTTCGGCTGTGTTTTTTTTTTGGAAGTAGACTGCTGATCCTTCAATCGCTTGTGCTTCAATGAGCCTCTTTCTTCGTCATCCTAGAAATGACAAAAATAAGTTATCTTAGATGAAGAATAAAGAAAATAAATAAAGGAGTAATTTGGTGATAAATACACTTTTATCGCAAGTTTGATTCTTTTCCTCTACAATTTAACTGTCTTTTCTCCCCCCCTCTCTATAATTTAATTTTTTTTTTTACTTCCTCCCCCTCTTTTCTCCCGTACATCACATTTTCATTTGTTTTCCCATCACCACACCCCAAAATTTTATTTTTTATCATCTTCACGTCAAGCCTTTCACGTCCGCTATTACAGCGTCACTTTTAATGAACTGGTGGTATTGTTCTCCAAGGGATAGAAATAAAAGTTGCATAAGTGAGACTCTCCATGAACCAGTGCAGAGGAGATGTAGACAAAACCTCTTGGAAAACTGATCTCTGCAGTATTTTTCATACACCTAGCAAGTGGGACATGTCGTTCGATGTCGTTACCTGGAGTTCCGAAGAAAATAAAGTGACTATAGACCCGGTGTTTCTGTTTTATTTGGGGAGTGATGGCTGCAGGTTTTAGTCTTTTGGTCTTACTAAACATTAACCCTAACCTCCCCTAAGTTTACTAAAACACTGATGACCTCTACTATTTTTTTTTGGCTAAACCAACGCACAGAATAACGGAAAGTGTAAGAAATAAATTCACTTGTGGAGCTTTTGTAGTAGCTCGCCTGATGTCATTTGACAACACCTTGTGCGCTGAATCTTAATCGCCTAACAAACGGTTCTTTTTTACTTTTACACACCACAGTAAGAGAGTTAAGTGAAGACATCTCTGTCGCGTTATCTGTTACACCCAGCTTGTTAAGATTGTTCCCCTGAAAAGTGCGCTCAATTTGTAGGGAGTTTTCAGTGACATCTTGACTTTCATCCAGAGGCTACAAGGAAACGAGGAAATTATGAAATCGATAAGTTAAACACTACTAAAAGAAAATGCTTTGATAGCTTTAGAATTAACTTGGCTTATTCGATCAGAGAAAAAATCTACCCTAGAACGGTTGCAAAATTACAGTCTATCTCGTTATCACCGTAAAACCTCGTGTTCTTGTATGTAAAGTATAAGAGTCAATCACAAGAGCGCTAGTTACACTCTTGGTGTTCAACAACGGACTCACAAAAAGTGATATCTCATTCATGGTAATGAGGCAAGGGATAACACCAAAGAAGTTCAACCTTTTTAGGCAAAGACACTTTTAAGTGACGTACGTAAACCGGAAGTACACTTTTTGCATTCTTGGGCAAATTGTCTCAGTTTATAAGAGTAAGGACGGTAGCACTACGAATTACTTTGGTAGCGTCAAGGCATGTTGAACAGGAAAAGGTTTCACTTCCGGGTGACGTGTGTTGTTCAAAAAATGCCTTTCCTCAAGGTCCCTATAATTATAGCCTGTGTACAGACGTCCCCTCTCCCTCAGAAAAAAAAATCGGGAGAAGAGACGACGTCTCTTCTGCCGATTTTTTCTGAGGGAGGGGGGACGTCTATACACAGGCTATATAATTACAGTTCACAGTTTCTTCATTAAGTGATGGCAACAGTTACGAAAAGTTAACCAAACGTGCTAGAAATCATGACTGATGTATTTGAAATAACTACCTGCACTTGAACCAATTTCGTTGTTTTCTTTGGCCTGAAAGACATCTTTGCTGTAAGTTAAAATTACAAAAGAAAGGAAAAATAGGTATGATTGTTTGGTACAAACTGAAGCAGTTAAGTCTTGGCTTAAGTATAGAACTCAGAGGGTTTGGTTCTAGAATGAAGTATCATTTTCCTGGAAACTGATGGACTTTCAGTCTAGCCTAAGAAAACGGGCAATGACGCTAAAAAATGAAATAGTGAAAATTTGGATTGATTCGCAACTCAAAGATAACAACGACCTCAGTAGTTTCTGGAAAATAGAGACTTTAGGATAGGTATGCATCTGGAGAGTTAAGTCTAGTATAGGGTAGGACATTCAGATGAACTGCAGGTTGTTTCAAAAGTTCGTTCAGATTGTAAGTTGTATTTTGCACAAAGCATTTAATGCTTCCTGAAGCAAATGTAAGCTGATTCAGGTAGGAAATTTATCTAAATAAACGCTCAAAGAAATTTCAAACTAAAATTTCAAGAAATTATGATATTTTGTTAAATTTTTTCCCCAAATGTTCACGTACGCGAATTTTTTCCCGCCATATTTTTCCTGCCCATTTTCTAATTTTTCTATTTTCGTGGCGTTTTCTTTTGTTTTCTCTACTCTTTCACAAAAATGAAGGCGTACACTGTTTGTGCTAGAGCTCAGGCATCTATTTTTTAGGTACTCTGTCCATTTAGTCACAGAAATTGTCAAATTGTTGAAGAAGTCTGAACGATGAGAGAACAAGTGGTCAAAAGTAAAGACCTTACAAGACAAACCAAGGAGTAGATGGTCGGGGTTTTTTTACAAACTGTGTACATGGTAATAATTCAACGAGACTGCAAGGTAAAAAGAAAACTTCAACTTCACAATATCAAAGTTTCGAGCACAACGGTACGGAGAAATGTGACCAACAAAGGTTGAAAAGCCTTGAAGAGCAAAAAGGTGGTGCACACTTCATGCAGCCATGGCATCAGAAGAATTTGCAAACTTTATACCAAAGGAAGACCGGCCGGCAAACCCACGTGATGCGAACCCTCTAGTAACCATCTGGATTATCGCTGATGAGACAGCATACAAAGATCCAGCCCCCAAAACACTGGACTAGCTAAGACAGCGACCACGCTTCACCTGGAAAATTGTGAATTTAGACACCCTATGGGAGCTCGTACATTCTATATCTCACCCCTTAGAAAATGTCAGAAATCATAAAGGAAGACATTCTGGTTGCTAATATTTCAGTTAGTCAATGTTAATTGAATAATGAATAACATGCTTAGGTTTACCAAAGTTATCTTTAACAATCAGTGAAATTTAAGTGAAGAAAAAATCGGAACGAACTTTTAAGGTGGCTCCCTAGAGTATTTACTAATAACCCTAGCTATCTAGCATACGTTACAGAACAAAATCTAGTTACTTTGTCTTTGCGATTTCGTTCACGAGATTCACCGCTAAGGTTACCCATATAAGAAGGCTCCTTTATCAAGTTTCATTTTCTGGATTAAGTCCGTTGCCATGGCAACATCGCATCCTTAGACAGGCAGTTATTTTGTCATTTCTGATCATTTTTTCTTAATTTTTCTTATCTCCCTCGGTGAAATGTCTTTAAACTTTGCCACTTTATATTAACGATATTGCTTAACATTTTAAAGTGGAAAAAACATGGGGTCGTTAAGAAGGTTTTGCCAGTATCTTGAGATTTGTAATTTTTCTTAATGGAGGAATTTAGCTCTTACAGATTTTAACAAAAAAAGGAGAGTACAAAGGTACTGCAACTGTTAAGAAAGAGGTGATTTTTAAAAAAAATTTACAGAAGGAAACGCGAGAAATTCACCGTTAATTAACTACGTTAACATTACAAAAATCCGAAAAACACGCGTGGTTCGGGGTCGTATAAGCAAACTACGCGCGCGAGCCATCACGCCCGCATGCGCATAATGCACAAAGCTACTAAAAACATGTGGTTTTTTGAAGAGTACGAAAGCCATTGTTTTGAAGCCGTTTATTAGTATTATTACGGTGATATCTCGCCAGTTGAAAAAGGAGAGATAGCGGATTCACAGGATGTTTTCTTCAAAGTACTTGACTATTGTAGCTAAACTTCGAGCCGTGGTGGTCACTCGTGAGGATGGCGATCGTCGGAGATGAAGACGGTGGTTGTGCAAGGATCGTAATAAGCACTTCATTTCCTAATCTGCTGTACACTGTTTGCAGATCTTCAAATGTCAGCCCACGTCCGGATACTTTTTCAACCTTGTTCTTCTTTAGGGATAATTTCGACGGCGAAGTTTTTCTTTAAAAGTCTGCTGTAAAAGATGGCGCCGATCTATAAATCGTACATCATAACCTCACGTCACGTACATCGTAACCTACACGTACAAGACCGTAGGTCTCGACGGACAACTATTACTTTCGTCAAGCGTCAATCTGTGAGTAAATATTATTTCTCGTTGTGCAAAAACATTTCTAGTGCATCTTACATGTGCGTTGAAGGACGTTTGAAACAAGAAAAATATAAGGATGTTGGTTCGTCGATGGAAAGGGTCCTTCGATTAGGATGCAAGTTAAATGGGAAACCTTTTCTCTGATAAGTTTTTTAAACAATGTGAAAATGTACACTCCCTATAATCTTGTCTTAAAGCCACTTTTAGAATTACTTTAATCAAATCAAATCAAATTTTAGAGAAATAAAGTGACCGAGGAGCTCTGCCAGTGAAGGCAATCTTCAGTGTTTGTTCGGAAATTGGCTCGATTTTCAGATCTTTTCACTGATCGTGAACCAAAGGCCAGAGACAGCAACATTGCTTCCTTCTAGGTTAATGTACTTTCTTCTTTGTTTTTTAAGTAAAGTTTCCACTCACCATTTACTTCGACTATTTAACGTTTGTGTACTTTTGAAGCGAAAGAATTGATGTCTTTGGAAAATTTCTGTTTTGTTTTTACAGACAATTTACTCTTATGGAGATCGATAGTGACTTGTATCAGGTGTAACATTGCCTCCTGTCATAAATGTTTGACCGACACTAATCAAACTTTTTGCTCAATGAGCTTCAACAGAAAGTTAACAAAGTTTTTTGGGGTAAATTTTCGAAAGTGAGAGGCCATGTTTGTTTTAATTTTTAAGTGGACGTCGCGCAGATTTTAAAGCTCGCGCCATACTAGTGCTCAGGCTTCGCACGGCCAATTAACTCTAGGGAGCCACCTTAAAACACCCTGTAAATCTCTATAAGCTAAGGGTTCCGGGGTGCCAGCGGCACATCCCACCCTTAAATCTCTTAAGTACCTTTGGGTTCCCTACCTAAGAGTTTTGACGTCCTCGTTTAACCCTAGCACCCGAGGTAATAGCACTTTCTTTTATAGGGTACGTAAGTCGCAGAAAAGGACTGTATTTTAAGCAGTTAGTTAAAGTACGAGTGTGACATATCTGTTATCGCTTACCTTTGAGTTTATCAAAACTGTTGGAATTCAGACTTTTCTTGCTTGACGAACTTCCTGATTGCTTAAAAAGGAGTAGTTTCGTATTCAAACGAAGAAAACGTCATCCTGTATTCGTCACTAGTATCAAAAGGCACTTTGTAACTCATTGTCTTAGGCAACCCTCATTCAGTCATTCAGTCAGTTTTCAAATCATTTTAACTGTAAAGTGACTGAATCAATGAGCCCTTGCATACGGCGAGAGCTGTCCATGCCGTGTTTCCGGTTCTTAAGTATTTGACACATGCATTTCCTTTTTTTCGCATTCATTTTTTTTAACTTTTATATTCTGGGGAAAAAAAACAGCACGAGCTGTCAAAAGACTTGTCGGTCTTCTATGCACCAGAACGGGTTATAAATTTTGTAAAATGAATCCTTTTTTGTGGAGCTTCTATTTTGTTGTGCTACTCAGACAGGTTTCGAACAGTTGATGATTCAGGGGTTATATATATTTTGTAAAGAACCTGTGGTGCGGCATCGGTGCTGAGTGAGACATAAAACTTAATCAACTGCGGGTAATGAAATTCAATTTACCACCAAAAAAGACGCACAAGTTGACATTCGAATTCTCCTCCTCCCCCCTCTGGTTATGCCAGAGCGAATCCAATCTATTTAGTGCAAATGGGGAATAGTGGGGAAGGCTTGCCGCTCGAGACGCGGCCTTCACATAAATGATAACCATATTACAAAAAAACTGCCATATATATCCCATTCTAGTTCTTACCGACAGTGAGAATGAAGCCGGGTAGTTGGAATCGTATTCTTTAGAGAGAGCAGACTTCTCTCTTATTCGGCGAAATGCTTGACGAACCTAAAAGAAAGGGAGATGTAAGAAACCTTTGCGCAGTTTACAAAGAAAGTTTAACTTAGTTTCAGGGACCTTCTTCTCTTGTTCTTAGTTTAAAATATCACTTCAAATTGACCGGTTTATTAGATCAGCATCAATTCTTTCTTACACACCTCACTGTTAAATGCACAATGCAGCAGAAATATCAGCAAGCCCTAGGAAATTAAAGACAAAATCAGTCCCGCATTAAAAACGTTCAAGACAGTGTGAAGAAAATGAACAAATTTTTGGCAAGGTAGCTTGGCTATATGCAAGTAGGTATTAGGGAATTAGTTCAACTAAAATATAAATGAAACAAGTAAACTATGGTTTTTAGGTCTACCTGAAGTCCATTTATGATGGCGAAAGCATACTCGAACACAATGGTGTTCTTGTTTACAGCAAAAAGACCAAGAATCCAGCCAACTCCGAGAATAGGCATTAGAACAAACAATCCCTTAATCCCAGCTCTAGAAAAATAGATTGGGATGTTGATGTTAAAATAGCAAATGAGTAAAAACCAACTGAACGGTCCCAGTTATTAACAGGTTAACAGCTCCCGAGTTTTACGCTTTGTGTGCCACTTAAAACCAAGGGAAAAAAATCCTCAATAATGTTATCTCTAAAGGTTAATATATTAGAAACTTTGCATCATGTTACCACTTGTATATGCAAATCGTTTGGGAACATCAATATTTTAAAAATAGAATTATAGTTTGCCTGGGTTTGATCCAGAGTATGAATTACCCAAAAAGTAACATTCCAGAAATAAATTGGTGTTTTTTCGCTAGAGAGTTATTTTACGTTACGTTAATTGTGCGGTAATTTCATTTTCGTTTTGCGCGACTACGACAAAAAAACTGAAAATGTTTCCTCTGGCTCTCAAACACTTACTTGACATGCATATGCTCAGAGTTTTTTACAGCCTTGGCGGAAGTCACAACCGTGTGTACCACCTTGAACAAGATGAAGCTATTTATCTATAATAGAGATGACAGAAAGATTTTTGTGTTTTGTTAGATTTCATAATAGATTGAAGTAATTTCCTACTGGCAGCGAGATTCCCATTTTCTATCCTTACATAACTACATGAACAATTTAGGCATTTGCACATACAGTTATGACTGCAATAACCGGTCCTATGAAGGCCCACACCGTTCCATCTTCCATGGAAAGCCAGCAGCTGCAATCAATAAAAAACAAAAAATTTGTTTTAGAGTCTGTGAAGAATAGATTAATATTTTTAAATGCGTATCTTACATCTCTCTTGAACCATAGCTGTCTGGTCTCAAAGCTACTGCAATGCTGACGGGGATGAGAGGAAAACCTTCAAATGAAGAGAAAGAAAAGAATTCAGATTCTTTCTTTTATTAAACTTAACTCTGACTAACCAACCCATAATTTACAGGTGAACTGTCATACTATATATATGTGCTCATGTCTGACCGTGAATGAAAAAGTAGCTGCCAATAATTCATGTTTTTACTATGTAACATTAATCGGATGCTGACGGAGCTGAAGACCTTTGAACAATAAAAGGTAATTGACAGGATGAAAAGGGTTGGAAGAAATGTTTGAGCAGAGAGAGCCGGGCTTTAATATACTTCCGATAATGATTTACCTGAAAAATCCAGATCGAAATTATATTTTCTTACCCCATCCTGAAGCATAGTAGTAAAACATTTTGAGATTCTCAGACTTGAATACTTGGACCACTTTTAAGTACAAATGCACTCCTTCAACTAGCATCCAAGTGAATGCAGTCATAAAAAAGTAGTGAAGAAACACGGCAATAGTTTTGCAAAGCACCTAGAAATACAAAAAAACCACGGTAGCTGATTTTTAAAATTCAGTCATAGGAGTACTTTACATCAAATTCGTGTTGGACAGTGTCACTTAAGGCAACATTGTCTCATTCTGTACGGGATAATTAGCCATTTTTCATTCCAAATTGGGTTTGATAAATGTGGAGAACTTCGTTGTTATAGGATGTTGCCAAGTATCCCGACATGTCAGTGTAACATTGCAATAACTTTCCTTTGTTAGTCGCAAGAGCTCTGAAAATCTGTTTAGTCCTTAATATGACGAAAGACAGTTTAACTTTTTTGCCTTCGTTTCCATCGCGAAATTAAGATATTCGCAGAGCTCCTATGTTGCCCAGTATCCCGCCACAACAATAACAACGTAATTGCACGTAAATTTCGACAGGCAAGCGACTTATAAGCTTCTTTTGAACTTGCAAAGTAGTCTGGCAATCGATGCCAAAAATATAACCTAGCATCGTGAAATAAAACATAGCAAATGACTAGGGTATGGTGGGGAACGCGAGCGGTTGTTAAATGGTATAATTCTTACTTCCTTGTCAAGGAACTTTTTCACTGATTTAAGGAAGGCATCCGTGGACATGCCAAAGCCACGGTTCGCAAGCTCAATTAGCCAATCTACAAACGACTTTTTTTCTTCATTTTTTATTTTAAAAAAAAGGCTTGGGGAAGGGACCTCAATCCGACGGTCAAAGGTCACTCTCCTATTTAGTCTGACCTAAAGTGTTGATTTCTTCATGCTCGGTCCCCACGATAAGCCTGCTTTTCTAGCACTAATTTCCCCTTCTCAATCTCTCAATCCCTTTGCGACATTTTTCAGACCTTTGCAACCCAGTCACAACTGGGGAAAGTGTGAGAATTCCAGGTTCAACTCCCACGTTTCCGGTTATATATAGAAAATGGAGTCACTCGAAAGCTGTACACACGAAAGCAAGTTCCCTCTGAAAAAAATTATGCAATTTTTCAGGCCTCTTTACGCAATTGCATAAATTGCGTTCACTGCGACGATCATTTCTTCATTTTCATTTCATTTCCGCAGTTCATTTATGATTTTTTTCATGTATCATTAACACTCATTTCTTTCACGGGAACATATGAACCCACGATTGACCTGCTCCCAACGTCAGTGACTTCATAGCTCAGTTGGTAGAGCATCGCACCGGTATCGCGAGGTCACGGGTTTAAACCCCGTTGAAAATGTTTTCAGGCTTCTTTACGCAATTGCATAAATTGCGTTCACTGCGACGATCATTTCTTCAATTTCATACTGTATAGCATTACATGATACAAACAGACCTAACACATTAATTTATTACGATTTACTTTTGTGAGAGGATAAATATACGGCTCTCAAGTGAGGTGCCGCCCAATAAACGGTACGGTAACAAGGGAAACTGGGAACACTGTGCTTCAGTCGCTCAGAAGTTATTGGTGCTTTGCACAATCCAAAACCGCATGTTGGCAAAATAATCTAATACAACGTCAGTGCAGGTTAAGGGACATGCATTCATTTAAGTAGTTCTCACGAGGACAATACGAAATCAAGGCTTATCGGCTTTTAGAGGGCTAAATTATCCCTTTTCAATACATGTTCAGGATGGCTTCTAGGGCGTTTTCTCTCTGCTGAGGATTATCTTGTTGGGAGTGGTCTCAGTGCTGGAGCATTATCTTTGTTAGTTGCACTGCTGTCGAAAAAGTGACCAAGTTCATCAAGGCCCTTGTATAATGCATTCAGGGACTGTGGTAATGACTCGTTTTCTTTGTTTTTTTGGGTCTCATCATTTTGGCATTGCTTGTTTTGGAAAGGTCAGTTAATAATTAAGCTGTCTCGCTTCACTTGCGGTTTCTTTAACACTGTTACAGGTTCGCATACTCCCTATTTCTTGTGAGCAAAATATCGCAGGTACCTCGAGGGGAGCTAAGCACTCCTTTGGCTTTCCTGAGTGTCAGTTAGGCATATGCACATCTACTCTGACTAGACCTGTTACGACGCGGCATTGGATCAATAAGCACTTGAGGGACTTAACTTCAGATTTAGCGTGAGACGTTCAATATCAGCATTGGCTGTTATAGCCTGTGCAATGGCGTCGCCGAGGTAACTTGACAAAGGCACGTTGTCTCTTACCACACTGCTAATGAATCGTTAAAAGGTCGCGGGTGCATTACCCAAGCCAAATGGCATCACTATGCACTGACACATCCAATTAACAGCAGTAAATGCTGCTTTTTCTCGGTCCTGTTATCCGATTCCAAACTGCAAATCCCGATTTCGATATCAAGCGTCGAAGTCGTTTGACTCAACCAGTCATTACAAAGTAAGGCATATGCATCCTTGTTGTAGCTAATGATGTTTAGGTCTCGTTAGTCCTCACATACCCCCACGACTACTAGGAAAAAACACGTAAATACGTCCGTAGCTTTACCGTATACCTTTTCTAGCTACGCAGTCGAATGCACCTCTCCATTATTGTATGAACTGTCGAGAAGGTAAACGATTATCATCGGCCTACCTTGTTTGACGTTTTCCTTATGCCAGCCAGGAAAAGGGCCTGGGCGAGTAGTAATGACAAAGCAAGATTCATGTGTATCTTATGACGCTCCGACGACAAAGACCTAAAAAAAAGATTAAGGATTTTATGTTTAACATAAAAGAACACCTTTAAACATTCTCTAAAGATAATTAGAAAGAGGGTACAAGCCTGAATTTTTTCAGGCTTTCTTTTCGCAGCTGCAAAAGTTGCGTTTGTAACTGCGATGATCTTCTTTCATTTAATTCTAACTTTGTTTAAAAAACTTTTGTTGAGTATATAAACTAATCAAAATACTATATATTTGAACAATATTTCCTGAAAGCAAACACATACACACTTCACTACTGACAAAACTGGCTTCCTTGAAGATTTCCTTTTTCGAATTCACTTACTCAATACTCAGCAGCACAATAAGAGTAATGGCAAGAGCAGCTGTTGATACTCCGCAGCCGATGTAAGTAATGATGGAAAGAGCTAACTTGTCTTTCTCTGAGTTCTGTGAGAAAAAGAAGGCTTTAAGTTAAAAACTCGACACCGCCAGAACAGCCCTTAGGATACCAAGACAAACATGAGAACGATCAGCTATTATACATCAACCCTTTTTTAAAATAAATCGAAAACAAAAGTAAATGAAATATGTCATAAATAATTAACAAGACTCTCTCGTGCAAAGTATTAACAAAAACGTGGCGCTCGTATCTGGCTCCTTCAGCGACAGCAGGGGAAAACAGGAAAAGACAGATCTGGATGAGGTTGTCATAGCTGCCCAAGCAACGGCTGCTTGAGGTTATGGGGTAGCAGCTCGCTCTTATTCTGACCAAAGTATTTCATCAGGTGGCTTATCAAAAAAATGTTAACCAAAGGCTACTTATCACCCTTTGAAGTTCTCATAAGAATATTTCATCAAGAGAATGAGGCAGAAATATGAACATTAAATAAAACGTGAAGTAGTTTGCAAGGCAAAAAAAGTAAAGAATAGAATAAAATAATAGATTGGTGTCATACCTGTGTATTTTGGTGTTGTATAAGCACCGCAAAACTTGTGAAATGGTTTGTTTGACAAACTGTTCGTTTGGAGCTTGCTTCAGCTGTTACCTCTTTAACGCCATCATTTTCCCACAAACTATGGTGTAACCAAAAAGAAAAAATTATATTCAACAGAATTCTACAGTCAGACCATTGTGCAAGCTTTAAAACTGTAACAAAACAGCCCATTGAAATGGTTCGTGTCCACAGTTCTTGAGTACAAGTCTGTGTATACTGAGCTATGTATGTACTTGTAAATCTGACCAATTCGGCTGTTCATTCGATTTAACAAAGTTAAGAAGAAGAAAGAGATACTACCAGATTACGTAGAATGCATAGAAGGAGAAACGCAATTTCACCTCTTGTGGACATTCCAATAGGAGCACTGCTTTTTGGTGTTCTCCACTTCCTGAAAATATGACCACCAAAAGATCCTTTAAAAATTGTGTACGTGTCAAGTTTTGTGGGGGGGAGGCATGCGTTATTGTTTTAGTAAGTGAGATAGCCATAAGTTCTGTCATCCAGTGGATAAATCCTTCAGCAGCAGATGGTTGAATTAACTCATCCGGTGGACGATAATATTTTATCCAGTGACATTGTTTAGGTGGCGGACAGTATTATGTTGTTAGAGAGTATTTATATGGTGGACAGTTTCCTTTGTGCAATTATACAATACAGCGTAGAACACATAAATTGAAAAAGAAACAAAGATGAAATTTATTTTACTTAGTTGTACCAGCAAAATTCGTGGTCCTGGAGCAATTTTTTCAAGAAGCTTTCCGGTCTGGAATGTTACAGGAATTCAAACCTCCATCTTAAATTCTTTAATCTGGCAGTATTTCTAATTCTCGTATTTACCATTATGTAACCATACTTGCCACTTTTCTTTGGAGGCTATTTAATAACGATCAAACACTATAAAGTTTTCTTCTACTTAGATTAAATATTTTTGGACGAATCATTAGTCAGATCAATAACTTACCGATGTTGTAAAGTTCAATAATGCAGGAGGTGAAAGTGTTGTAACACGCTTGCCATCAAGCATCAAAAAACAGGACATCACAAAAGAGGAAACTTCCAGGTCTTTTCCAGCCTCACTTTAAAAAAGTAAAACAACGTTTATTTTTCAGTAAAAAACGTAAGTCTTAAGTATCGATAAGTGAAATAAAAAGGGTGATTTCATTACCTTCTTGAGTTAGGAAGCGAACTTTTAACGTCTTTGTACAGCAGAAAAACGTACGTGTAGTTTTCTGCAAGAAGTAATAACGACCACTTGGCAGTAAATTACCATTAGTCCTTGGGGTACATTATGGTGTTAGAAACAATTCATCATAAATATTTTCGTTTTACCGTTGTAATTTTAAATAATGGTAAATAATGACAACGAGACTTGATAATTAACATAAGGAACGATATAAGACGTTACATATAAACCGAATTAAGCAAATAGATACATGCCTGGATGAATAAATTGATTAATCCTCCCCTGCGATAAACGAGTGTATTAATGAATGAGATTATTGGATAAATGAACTGATATATGTGTCGTGATGTTTGCATACATCATGAATATGTGAAACAGAGGTTATGAATCATTATTGCCAATCATTAGCAACAGGAAAACAGTTAGACACCTTTGTCTTTAAATGTCTCTTTACGAATTAATGCATGATCCGACTCTTTATTCCATGAGTCCCCTGGAACGTTTGGGTGATGGGGAATCTTGATGTCTTCTGTAACGGCTTTCACAAAATTCCTTTCCACTTGCGCCACTGCAAATCCAATATTGAGTATTAATGTTATCGTAACACAAAGCAATAAACCAAAGCATTTAGCAAGAACACAACTCTATTCTCCATGGCGGGCGAACACATGTCCCTCAGACCTTCGCACTACACTCTAGGTACGCAATACGTATATACAGTAAATGTGGTAATTTAACTCTTACCTACCTTGTCTAAGTTAATATAGACACCATTTAAGTCTACACGTTTGGTATCTCAAAACACTGGGTGCGATAATTCCAGTGTTCTTTGCTTATTATAGAATTCGCAGTTTGTGTAATCAGTAATTGGTTTGACTGAGTCACAGCTTATTTGGTAACTATGGAAACCTTGAAGCTTAATTTTGCTCTCAAACAAATGTATTTAGCTTTCATAAAACTTGGGAAACTGCGTCACGTCAAGCCCAACTCACGCATTTTTGCAATCGTCTGCAATTTGCGCACTGTGCAAATTGTTCAAAACCTACAAATGTAGCTTGCGTGCTTAACCTGAATACTATGAAAATACTATGAAAAACCCCAGTTATAATAAATACCGTTTTAACTCTACGTGCAAGTATTGCGTGCGAATCCCTTACCAATATTTGAGGTTGTCAAAGTGTAATTGATTTCCAATGGAAAAGTTCCGTTAACTGTGGCTATTAACACATCTTCCAGAACCTGCATCAGGTTAGGCATCTGAGAGAGCGAGATAATAGAAACCGGAATAGAACTAAATTTGCCAATTGCCTACTACGGTCTCTGTACGCTGTCTTACCAGGCCTTCTCGGTCAATGCATTTCGATGACGTATTTGACCACGAGACCCGAAACGCATAGGCCGGGCTGAATAATAAGGCCTAGGGACTAGGCAAGAACTGAATTACGTTAACATCAACTGTAACTATAACCACAGTTTTGGACTAGAACCATACTTTGGTATTTTTAATTAGAATACAGAACTAAGTATCATTAAATAAGAACTCCGCCTTCCAAACAGCCCGCTTGTAGAACTCCCCTATATGAAAAACACAATGTTCTTTTCTGCTAAATGTAAAATACACACAAACTGTACGTAACACTGTATTAACACTTTATTAACAAGTGGTTTCAAAAACAGTAGTCTTGGCTTGAAATCTCCATGTTAAGTGTTATGCTATTAAAAATATCAAAAAATTGAAAATAATAATAATGACGTTAACCCAGAGGCTCTTCAGCTATAAATATATAATTGATTCATTTCTTTAAACGCAATAGATATCATTGGAGACTGGGAGCCGAACAAATTAAACTCAGCAGGAGTTGTTGATTGCCTACTTTCTTCAAACCTTTAGGGGATCAATTACTTGTCGGGAGTCCGGTGAAATACGATTCACTGTACCATTTATCGAGCATTCACACGTAACGAACCTGTTGATTTTTCCTCCAGAATTTATGGTTCGTCTCAAGGATACACTCTGAAGCGGCGTTCAAAATGCCTTGCAGCGATACCTAAAATATAACGTTACGATCAATTTTAAAATATTGTTTGCAGAAACTACTCTACCGTATATAACCCGTTTTCTAACTCCGGTACCTGACAATGATACCCCACTTCAAACGTACCGCTCGACTGACGTTTGACCATCTTGTGGAAAAGGAGAAACTCTCAGTTATTTTACGCAGCTGTCTTACCAACAAAGAGCAGCCTTCTAGGTTCATTATCCATTAGGTGAATCCTTACGCAGACTTCAAACTAATCTGTTTATTTATTATTGTTCTTCCAAAACTACAAGGCAGAGTGGTAGGCCGAACGTTACCGCTGCACCGCAAGAAATTAGGGGCGCTGTAGCCTGGCAGCCCCCATCCTTGAAAGTCAGTCCGGTAGAGCACCGGTATAAAAAGATCCACGTCTCTTCGTCGTAGCATATACATTAATTGGCTAAGGAAGGGAGCATATCATACGTTACTTACCACTGCAAAGAGAGGATTATGCTTAGCAATCTCAAGTTGAATGGCTGTGTAGTTTTCAAAACTATTCAAGCATAAATCTTCCAAGTCTTTAGATGAAGGATTACGTGACAACAGTAACTTGTGACTTGCAAGATTTGCCAGAATAGCAGATTCGTTCAGTTCGTCACCTTCAATGAGTGAGAAAAGAGAAAAATTTCAGTGATCAAACGCATGTTTCATTTCCTTAACTGACTTACATTTAAGGCTTCTCTGCTTTTCATGGACTCGTTAACACTCATAGGACCTAAAAGGGGTAAAGTCTAGGATAAAAGAAGTGAGTGATGTTGAGTGACAAGAAATAAATGTTACTTTAGTATATCATCTATAGAGCGTTTTCACTCACGTGGTCATGAGCTATGCAAATTTATTGAAAAAAAAAAAGAAAGGTTCTACGTAAGAAAAGAGTTCAACTCCCACAGAACTGGTTTGGAACACCAACATGGCCGCCGTTTAACTGTTTTGGGGCAACAACATGGCGGACGCACGGTGACGTCATGTGAAAAAGCTCTATATGTTTATAATGCCGAGAGTAGTAGATGCGGTCACAAAGTAAGTTATAGTTCTCAGTAAGTAGGTGATGTTTTCCTCTAAAGAAGGCTATCAAAATGTTCCATATGACAATGTGACTATAGAGTGTGAATCAAGAAACATGGAGGATGGTTATTATTGGCCAGGGACCTTGTGCTGTAGGTGACGTTGATGACTGTATTTCACTCGCCGAGGGCCTCAAAACACTATCTGTGCTGGTACCTGATAAAAAATGTAAGCATCATGGAATTATGTTATTAGCATGTTAATTAGTAAAAATTAAGCATGATTTCCAGAATTATTCTTTCATTACGAGCTCTATCTTGAGCACGCTCTAAACCGACAATAGAATTATGAACTTGGAAACGGAATGATTCATAGCAAACTACGATGCACGGTTGGGTTACTGGTGGTAGATATTGCATACAAATAAATATAATGTTGCGAACATTAACCGAAAGGTTACATTGATAAGAAGGAATACAAAAATTGAGTATACTATGGAATTATAATTTATAACCTAAGGTTAGGTTTTACGACGCGCTGAGTGGTGTCTTTTGAATAAAAACGTTCATGAGTTAGGGTAGGCCCTATAGTAGACGCACCAGTAAGACCATAGGCGTACGGGCAATGTTTTGCCAGGGGGGCGGTAAACCATTTGCCCAAAAAATTCTCGCAAGTTGCCCAAATTTTTACGAAACAGTAGAAAAGAAACGAGGGCCATACGATGCAATAATGTAGGCCGTACTGGCATATGAAGGTGGCTCGATGCTATGTTTTTCAGGGTCAATACCTCCCAATTTTGAGAATAACTACGTCGCCATAGGCAAACATTTGGAAAAATTGCTACCACAGTTTTATTAGATAAAGATGAAAATTTATCATGAGCAGGGTTTTGATGACATCGGAATTGTCATAGCAACGAAATGACGCCATTGTCTATTTTACTTGCAGCAATATTTCTCGGCACTGGGAACTATTCCTACAAAATTGTTCACGGGAGCTTTATTCTCCAATAGTCGCCTCGATGTTCGTGAAGTTAAAAAGGAGTCTATAGGAGTGTTATTGGGATATTTTGGATATTTTTATCGTTATAAATATGGTTAAAAAAAATCTTGATGTTTGGCCTTCATTTGTAGAAAACGAAGCTCTTTTGACATGCAATTTCATCCCATGGTAGCTTCAATCTTTTTAAAAACGTGTGTAAAAGATATGATCATCGAGATAGCTCCGGCCGATTGCTGAGACAAGGATTTCATTAGTATCGAGGCGCTCTTGTTAGCGGTTTTGTAAACATTTCGGTCTACTTTAATAAATTATTGCTTGATAGATTTTTAAACAAATTTGATATTCTTCTCGTAATTCGAGCTGAGTATTAGTCAGCCACTTCTTCATTTTCACACCCACTGTTGCTGATGCTATCTAACATACACTGTTCTACGAGCGGAGATGATTCTACAAAGATATGCGGAAGTTTATTCTAATCAATTCACGACTGGAAAGAGCCCAATCCAGTCAGAGCAGTGCAGTACATTACTCACCAAAAATCCCTATAAATATGTAAATCAACAAATGATACCCTTCCCTATAACCAGAAACTTATCACATGCTAGGAAACCACTGTGAGTGTCTCGAAAGAAAGTAACTGGATTATTACGCTGACTTCAGGATTTTTTCAGTTTAAAATAGAAAATATTTGCCTCTGTAGACTAATAAAAAAACATGGAAACGTCTTTGAAAACTGGCTTTGCCCAAATTTTCTCTTGCTGCCCAAAAAATCTGAGTTGCCCAAAATTTGGGGGGGCTGCAGCTCCCCTCGCCCCCCCGGCCCGTATGCCTATGAGTAAGACACACTACAACTTCTTCGTGCTGCGTTATGAATAACTAGGAAAGAGGTTTAGGTGTTGTAAATTCTACAGTTTTACCTAAAGTATTTGCCTAGAATGTCAAAAAGCCAAAAGTAATTCAATTTGTTGAAATTTCTTCAGCAAAAGAAATCAGCCTGTGATCAATGTTTCAAGGGCTCAACCACTTTTGACATTTAATGACCCAGAATGGATCAGAAAACAAGAGACATTATCCTTAAGTCATAGTAGAGTCAGTGTGAGATGTTAACATTACAACAAACATATTATAGCTGTGTGTGTTAGTGAAGAAGACTGAAGTCGACTCGTTGTAGGAATCTTTACGGGTGAGGATACGATGAAAGTCCTGCCTGTAAACCCTGATGAAGAATATTATAGATGGTCATTGTTGATTAAGGTGGCTCGATACAGTTTTTCGGGGTCAATACCTCCCGAGTTTGAGATTAAGCGTCCTTTTAGGAGACCTTCAAGTCTCAAGACTATTGATATATCCTAAGGCAGTAAAATAAGGGCTACAATTTGCTAATTTTTTTGAAAGCCACCCTTTATTCAAGGTATTCTCTCCAAGTTTCATTTTCACGTGAACAGCAGTAACTAACAACACATTTCAAATATGCAAAAAGGCTACCTATTGTTGTGCACGAAAATATGAAGCTTGGAGACAATACCCCTGAATAATGAGGCGCTCTCACTTGTAAACACGAAACTTACGATAAGAAAAATAGCAAACTGTAGCCCATATTTCACTGCCTTAAAATATGTCAATAATTTTGAGACTCAAAGGTCTCCTCGAAAAACGTTGAATCTCGAGAATCTCAATTTTTTAAAAAAATTTATCAAGCGGTTTAAAAATTGTTCGCTAATTCGTTAAAGTAGAACGAAATGTTTACGAAACCGCTAACAACAGCGCCTCGATACATACGAATCAAATCCTCCTTTCTAGCAATCGTCTGGATCTATCTCCATGATCTTTCACATATGTTTTTAAAAAGATTTAAACTACAATGAGGTGAAATTACATGTCAAAAGCGGTTCGTTTTCTACATATAACGGCCAAAAATCAAGATTGTCCATCTTTTTACCGTATTTCTAACCATAAAAATTTCATCCTAAAATATCTCGATAATGCTCTTACAGATTTCGCTTAAACTTCGCGAACATCGAGGCGGCTATTGCAGGAAAAAGCTCCCGTGAACGATTTTGGAAGAACAGTCCCCAGTGCCGAGAAATACTCCTGCAAATAAAATAGGTAATGGCGTCATTTCGTTGCTATGACAACTCCGATGTCATTGCAACCCTGATCGTTAAAGACTTTCATCTTTATCTAATACAATTGTGGTGGCAAATTTTCTAAATCTTTGTTTATGGCGACGTAATTTGTTTTCAAACTTGGGAGGTATGGACCCTGAAAAACTGTATCGAGCCACCTTAAAGAATTATTTTCTGCCTTGTTAATACAAGAATATGGATAAATCACATTACAGCCCCTAGTAATTACACTTAAAAGCGTGTATTTAATTTCCTTTTTAACTTGAAGCTTTATGAGTGTAGAGCGCTTGAAACAACTTTTACACTTTAACATTAGCTTAATTTATATTAGTAACATGAATCGCATGAGATTAACCTCCAGATGAATTACATAGGCAATCTTCATGAAGATTTGCTGGGTGCTGGTGAATTATAAATAATAACTAAATAAAATACATATTTTAAAAGGAGGCCTCCATCACTAAGAGTGGTTTTCAGGAAGCTGCAGGAGGTTCCTCTATCAAAATAAAATACTAAAACTAAAATAGCATTAAAAATCCTAAAATTTATAAAAGTAAGTAGCATAAAAATTAAGAACTGCGTTAAAAATATGTACATAAAGCTAACCTAAAAACCTTTTCCAATTTCTTTTTAAAATCATGGCTGACATTGGTCTTTTAAGTTCAATAGGTAGGGTAGCCCAGTCGTTAAAAGCTCTAAACTACGTAGTCCGTCTTCGCCATTTCGTTCGCGGCTTGAGAAGTCTAGTTAGAAAACCGGTTCTAGTATTATAGTTATGTAACTGACTTAAAGGGGTCCTAAATATTTCAAAGTGTTCTGAAACGTCTCCCTTGATTGCATTCTGAACCGTGTAAGACATCGATGTCCCAGGGATCGATGTTTGTCCAAAGCGCCTCCCATGGAGTGGAAACCATTTCAACGATGCCAGGGCCTCGGCTGACGACAATTTGCCATCTGCGATCTTCTTCGCAAACCTATTTTGGAAAGCCTGTAGTTGTTGTATTCCTGATGTTAAACCAGGCTGATCTTCCCAAATGGTGTCCGCAATCCAAGTGCGGAAGCACCAAGCCATTAATTAAGCGAGGCGACTTCGTGTATCTAACATATGTAAAATACCGGTTAAACACCGACAGCCGATGGCCAAGTTTCCAAGTTAGGCTGCTAATATGTGTCGTTTTTTCTGCTCGTGAGCCTGCGTCAGTGCAGGCGTTCTCCTCTGGTTGACAAACGTTTCTGATCGCGTAACCACTATTTTGCAGTATTTCAGGATATCGACTGGTGAGATGTTCAGCTAAATGAAACACCTCGGTGATGAACTTTGCTTATCGATTATAGACTGGGACAACTTTTGGTAAAAAGCCGCTAATAAAACTTCTGTCGGCAAACTCTAGGAAAAGTTGGTAAATACTTTTTTCTAGATGAAAATTACGTGCTGAACACGAAAAATTTGTTTACCAAGCTTGATTTTGAGTTTTTAACCACAAAATCTGACCTCGAAAAAAATGAGCTTATTTCTGGACATGGAAACGAGGCTAAAATTTTCCCCGCTTTTCAAAACCACATTTGACTCAAATTATTGCCCCAAATTAGCTAACTGTGATTTTTTTTTTGTTATGAAATAAACTAATAGACGGTTAAGGCCTGAAAAAAAGTTGTTTGGAAATACAGAGACGCTAGTGAAAGAAGTTGACGAGTGTGCGTCGTATAACTATCTGAAGGAAACATTTTCTTTTAAATAAAACCAGTTTTGATTAAGGATGAGCTATGCCAAGGGTATTTTTAATAAGGAATATATTTCAGTTAGTACAAAAGGTCTTCATCAGGACTAGTGACATCTGGTGCGAGCATTAAAACAAAAATAGATCTGGCAGCAAAAAGGTTGCGCCAAGTTTTATCCTGCGTTGTGTTTCCCTCATTCAACGATTTTATATCGTCCATCTTTTTACCAATGTATAGCTTAAAACAAATCACTACCCCAACGTTAATGGATGGAAAACTTGTAAAAAAATGTTCTTTTGCTACGAAGATTATCAAATAAGTAAACCCATTTTAATGCTTGAAGCTTTGACTTTGCCTAGGAAACGAAAGTCAGTGCAGCGTGTCATATGTTTGTTTCAACAGAAAGGTAGCCGCTGAATTTTATTTTTCGTTTTCCTCCATTTAATTAATGATTTTATGTAGTCGATCTTTTAAGTACTTTTTAACAGTAAAGCTTTAAGCAAGTCACTTCTCCAGCATTGTGACTTTTGATGGATGGATAACTTGTTTTTAAAAACCCTTTTTGTTGGGCCAAAAAAAACCAAACAAACCCATATAAATGCATGAAGCGTTAGCCCTGGCTAGAAAACGAAAGTCAGGCTCTACGTTTCATTCCAAAAACCATTCTGCTCATTCGAGTTACTTTTATTATGGAGAGTTGCATGGAAAGATTGTTTTCGTGGATTACATGATTTTTAATGTTGGAGAAGCGGCTAAGTTGGAAGAGATCTGCCCTTACACTCTCCTTCAGTAAATGCATTATATGCCAGGAAACGAAAAAAGATATCTTCTTTAACGCAATACAGCAAGGCCTGCGTTACTGAAAGAGTCCTCTGAAGAACAAAGAAAATTAGGAGACACAAACAATACAGATGTAACAGGCGCGATATTGGAGGCAATCGAAGCAAAACAAAGCTGAGGATTTAAGCTGGCACAAGAGCTGCTATGCAAAGTAGACTGATAAGGGTAAGATATAATTAAGCAGATTAAGGAAATCGCTTGATTCGTCGAAGGATACCCATCCACTGCCAGAAATGGCTGCAAGTTCAGCTCTCCGCAGCAAAAACTCTTCTATCGAATGGGAACTGTGTATTTTTTGTTAAGACGGGTCAATGCTTAAAAAGCAAATACTGTTCTCAGTGACAACGTTTAAAATGAGTCAGCGGATACTTGTTGGAGCAAAGTGTGACCACGACCTTTCCTTGCGTGTGTCGGGTGTGAATGACCTAATTGTGGCTGAGGGCAAGTATCATTCCGTGAAATTGCAATTTTAACGAAGTATATCTCGATCAATAGATATAGCTAAAGATGACCGTGCCGCGGTGTTGTTGTGGCTTGTTGCTGCATCAGGCAAACTGACATCTTCAACGTCAATCAACAAGCAGAAACGGTTCTTGAGAGATTAAAGAACATGGTTACTAAGGACGTGGCAACCACACAGATAGATGAGAATCTCTGTTGAAAGCAGGCAGCCTCGGCCAGAAACAACTGGACAGTTTTGTTAAAGAAAGGCTTATGATCCCAAACGAAGATGAGAATTGTAAGAAGCTTAGGGATCCTCTTCCCAAAAGTAAAGCCGTGACATTTGTTTCTCCTTATGAGGCTGAAAAGAAAGAAAGAGAAAAGTCTGCCGCTATCGAAACTGACAGAATGATCCTCCAGCGCATCATTACAGCGTACGATGCTGGTAGAAGAGTAGATTTGCTTCAGCTACGAGTTAGTCTCTGTTTCGCTTGCTATCGCAGATACCAATGGTCAGCCACAATCTGGAAATCAATCCGTGATGATAGAGCTGCTGTCTTGGGTGGGATGGAACATCCTCGGGTCACACCAGTCCCAGGACGTTCGACAATAGTAATTGCCGGTCAAGAATTAGTCATGGCTCTAGGAAGACCATCAGAGTGTAACAAATTCGACGATCTCGTAGATAGATTTTTGAAAGCTGCCCTTGTCTGTGGAAAGGACTATGACCGGATAGATGTTGCATTTGATGGGTACAAGGAAGCCATCTTTCCTTTTCATGCGCTAACAGGCTGTGATACGGTCTCTTTCTTTGCTAAGCATAGCAAGAAAACTGCCTGGAAGGCATTTGCTCATCACCTCATCACCAAACGCTATTGGAAAGTTTTGCAGATGGAGACCTGGATGACACGACTGTGAAGTCCGTAGAAAAATTCATTTGCAGTGTACAATGCTGCTAATGCAGAAGGATGTGATAAAGCACGTGCGACGTTGTTTGGTTGGTGCAGATTCCCAGAGGCACTTCCCCACACAAGTGATGCAGCATGATGGCATATTACTAGCGCACCCTTTCAAGCAATGTTATGGAGACAAGCCCATAAAACGAACCCCACCCTCCCACTTCCAGAAACCATGGGATGGACTAATTCTGATGACGGAAAGCTCGTGCCTAAGTTAATGACTCTTGCCCCTAGCCTGTACCCGAAAGCTGTACCGAGATGATTACCTGTAGCTGCAAATCAGGATGTTCAACAAATAGGTTCAGCTGCCGGAATGTTAGACTGCCGTGTACAGGAGCATGAAAATGCAGAAGCACTGAAGATCTCAATTGCAGAAATGAAGTTGATGGTAATGTCATTGCAAACCAAGGACAGTAAATGGTACAGTTCAGCAGAACAAAGCGTTTAGCTTCTCTAACAAATTTTTATTCTTGTTTTATAATTGTCTATGGACTAATAACGGGTTTTTTTTAATTTTCGTCCTGTAGGATGTCTGATGTTTACAATATCAATTTAGGTCTTAAATATGTTTCAGAAGCTGACATCAGACGCATCTAAAATGGCTGCAATCAATCGAATGTTATGACCTTCCTTCTTAGTTATAAGTACAGCATGTATCCAGAATGGTTAGGGCGTGAAAGTTAAAAGTAGTTTTAAGAAAATGCAGTTTTTGTTAATTATTTCAAGGATTTTACAAACATCTAGAAATTCAATACTTGAAAATGGAAGTAAGGTGTCTGCAATATATAGATCGCAAACTTACTGTAAATATCTTAGGAAATAGCTGAAAATTAAATTTCTATAGCTGTTGTAACTATTGGAGCGAATTGCTGGATTGGTAATTTTGTTTCTTTTTTGACTGTGCCGTCAAATTTGTCAAAATTCTGAATAGCCTATAACCCCGTTTTCAATGGTCACGTGACTAGAAAAATCACGTGATTTTCAGACGGTTTCTGCGAGGTACTGTAAGTAATAAGTTGTATCAGTCACCTGTTGATCTGAACGAATTTTAACCGTTAGAGAGTACTCTGCATCCTCATACAACATGCAGCCTCGTTTTCATGTCACAATTTATTAATACTAACCTTAACGGCTGATTTCAAGGTCTAAATGGTGGAACCAACCTTGGTAAACAAAATTTTCGTGTTCAGCACATAATTCTCATCTAGAAAAGTGTCTTTACCAACTTTTCCTCAAATTTGCCGACAGAAGTTCTCTTTTGCGAAAGTTACCCCAGTCTATTAAAAGTGCGAAGCTATCAACCAATTGTAGGTCTTACATTGTACTTACAGTTGTTACGGAGTTCTTTGCCGCCGAATTCGCGTATAGTAAGTCCTATTCAAATACTGATAATCTACAGTACGGACACGTTTGTGTACTTCACCACCCTAAAAGAGTAGATTTCTTGCTACTACTTCGCAGTGTTTGCACTTTTTCATTCTAATGCAGCGTATCTTCAACCAGCGAGACCCAAGCAAGGTTGCTGTTTTTTAGCAGCACAGAAAATATTTCCAATGATAGACTGTATAGATAGAACACATTACCATATCAACCAGGAGCCTATGAGGCACTGTATTTACACCGCCATTCAAGACTCGTGTAACGAACCAAACAGGACGTATCTAACTCGCACCATTTACTTTTGAAGCAAGTTTTATAATTATCTACTGCTTGCTACCTCGAAATCAGAGAAAACGAAAATAGGGAGAATGTTTCACTGCTTAACATACAAGTTGCCACAAACTCGAATGTACATGGGATAGGCTGAATGATACTTACGTTTGTGGGTGGGTGTGACGCTGAAGCAACGTAATGGTCTTGAGGAAGACGAATTTGAACTCCAGGTATATGGATTTGTAGGAGGATATGTCTCCACATTGGCCCCTCTGGAGTTATCTGACATTAAATAAACAAACCAGTTAGGTCTCTTCTATTATTAATACTTTTCACACATTATACACAATAGTTATCAAATATGAAAGGCTTCCACCCCAATCCGCAGTGGGATGGATATAATCTAGCGGGACCTCTCTGAATTGTAGTAATGATCAAATATCGGCAGCAAATAGTCACGTATACTTTTGGAAAATACACCCGGCATCATATTAGACAACTTTTTTTCGAACCAGTTCAATGACAATAATCTCTTTTTATCAAACATGTTGCTTTGCCAACGGGTTTTGGCTGTACGATTCTTAGCCTGGGCAATAGCAAGTCATTTTTTGTGAAATATTTGTTTGTACTGAAATCGCTCTCGATCTCTATTGGTGGTGAAACTATGACAGCGCAGATTCCTTTCCCTTTTCTTCTCCACCCCTCGATTTTGGAGTTGAAGCAAATGGCTTCATGTATTGCCCAACAGCATGTACATACTCATCTGAACTAGTAAGGGGGAAACAGGGAGTATACATTTCTGGACAGTCCGCAAAAGGAGATTACCTCCTACAAAATAGTAATATCCAGGTTCTGCCTCTTCATTGCCGCACGACCCAAATTTTGTGCCTTGTTTTAGAGATAAAACTTTAGGTGGCAGGCGACCAGCAGGTGATATTATCTGTATAATTCCACCTGCTCCACCACCCAAACCGGTAGCTGCTCCAATTTTTGATTTGCCATTTCCCCCATCAACAATGAGTTTTCCTTGCTCCTTTAGTTCAACCTAAAGAAAATAAAGTAATGAAAATCATGTTTAAATTAGGTATAAAATCAGGCAACAAGTAAAAACCAAAACGTTGGATCGACCCTTAGGGAAAGTTCATTTAATATGACAAGAGGGGGGGATGAAGATATTGAAACTCGAAGCTTGAAATTTTAGCAGCCTCCCTCGCTAGCGGTTCAATTTTTTGGGAGCCCCCTCCTTGGTAGTCAAAAAAAATTTCAGAGCCCCCCTCCCCCCTTCAATTCCTTTGCTCCCCTGAAAAAAGATCGCTAGACTGTATTAAATATATTTACCGTTATTGTCTTCAATGGTTTATACTATGACAAACTTGAGATACAGTTGTGATACAATTTTCTAAAGCATTTTTGGGATGAACAAGAGTGTAATAATTACTGAGACTACATTTGTTATATCTGTAAACCATGTCACATAGCTGAGTTGCACAGGTCATTAAATTGTTGAGTTGAAAACCATCCGATCTGTATGATGATGTCATGTGTTGGTTTTGAAGTATACAAATTTTCGGAGCCCCCCTCCTAGCACAACAATTTTTTCAGAGCCCCCCCTTCCGGTGTCTAAAAATTTTCGGAGCCCCCCCTCAATATCTTCATCCCCCCCCCTTGTCATATTAAATGAACTTTCCCTTGCTGTCTTGTCATTTCTCAAAAAAGGAACATTCGTTTTTGGATCCGGACATCAGGATTTGGCGATTTTCCCAAAAAACGCAGACATACTCTCTGCCGATGTTGTATACCTTCAAATTTAACTGTTTATAATTAAACCATAAAGGCGAGGTTTGAATCATTGCCTTTCTGAGTTGTAAATAGATCTATTTTAACATTTGTTCTCCTTCGTAGGAGTAGAGCAAGTAACACCTAAATACTTCCAGACCCATTATCTGAGATAAGACAAAACTTTGTGATAAGAGGGACTCTATCATTTTCTTAAAGTAGAATCTGGAATAAGCATCTGTGAGAGTTTTATTCAAAAAAGGGGTTGGCAAAATTCGTGAAGATAAAATTAAAAATTAGTAGTAGTAGTTTTGCGGATTCGAAAAATAAACCTCATGTAGCATGTGAAGCTTACGAAATCATGGTGGCTACACTCTGTTAATGCAGTTTTGCAGTATGACTTCACCAACCTTAGAAACTTTGCTTTGTTAAGTGCTTGGTGCATCTATTTGTTGATTTTCAAAAAAATGTGCAATCAAATCAGTTTGTGTTCGCGTCTCGACCGCTACCCTTCTCACCAAAGCCAAGTCGCTTGAAAATGTTGATATTTCAGCCTCCGAACATCCTTACTCCGTCTGAAAATGGAAGACGAGGCTTGAAGAAGAAGCGGGGATTCAAGAGATCGTTTGCGCGTGTAATAAAAAGGCCTCCTCTATCGATTTTTACTTCTTTTGTTTGTTACTTGAGACAGCTTTACTTTGCCATGTATACAGAGTCGAAATTCTCGTATAGTGTAAAATCATCATCCGTAACGTATGCACGCCTTTTTAATTCAGAGAAGAACCACTCCTCTATTGAAAAGTTGAGGTTGTGGATTACGTAAGTGTTCAGTATGGTAACTGCGAAAGAGGCAGTCCCGTAGTTACACCTAGTCAAACTTTGCTGCTATTGTAAAAAAAATTACTGCGAATTTTGCAGACTTGTTGTAGATACAGAGTCAAACTTTACCTTTAGGAACTCTGTTGTCAAAAGAAAAAACAAGCCAGATTAATAATGAGTAACTGTAAACTACACATTAAAGTAATGGATTACATGAGAAGCGTTAAGACGAATAAGTCCACCAGATCCACCAGAACATGATTCGCCTGTTTGACGCTGAGCTGAAGCTCTGATGATTGCATCTAAAAAGTATTGAAATAAAATTTGTCATCGAAGAAATATATTCCTTATCAATAAATGATAGAACAAATGATAAAAGGAAATAGTTTTATTCCCTAATAGACTGCTTGCAGTCCGCCTTTTCTCTTAAAATCCGTCAAGGTCTTATATAATCTAGCCTCCCCGCAGACTTCCTTTGGGGTTCGTGAGAGAAATGAATGCGTGACGAACCCCAAAGGACATCTGCGGGGAGGCTATATCTAATCGAGCGCGATTGCAAATTTAGGGATTGAGACGAGACGAGAAAAGACGGACTGCTGACTCCTTTTGTAGTGAACAAAACCTCCGTCAGCCCCCAGAAACGGAGTAACCGATTGGTCAATTGCATAGCATCACAACCAACGGCAAACAATAGCGAACCAAGCAGAATCTCAGCAATATAAAAGTTTTAGGATATCTTACAGAAGGAAACTGCTGTACATTTCCTCAAGGGAAACGAATTCAAGGCAATCTTACCGGATTTAAAGAAAATGTAATTTTTTAAGTTGTTTATGTTCTATTTATAAATCGTTTCAAGTTACTCGGGTTTAATTGATTAATTAAATTACCTTGACAGCTTCGTTGCCCCAGACAGAACAAAAGAGTCAGCAGTCTCTCATTTTTTCTTCTCGGGCTTACGCCCTCGTTTCTCGCGGCAAGCAGCTTCGCCGCTCGCGTGTTGCAAAGAAAAATGAGACTGCTCTCAGTCTAATTTCCTGAAGGCCTGGCGTGAACAGGCTGATAACGAAATATTGAATTTCTGCCGATTGGGTCATTTAAGAATCTTCTTCAAGGAACAGTTTTAAGACTGAGATAGATACAGGATGATAGGATGATTAAAACACAGCTTCTGAGTAAAAGATTAGTAGTGTTGTATAGAAATCAGAAAAATGAGTAATAGACTCAATTACAAGGTCTTCCGGAATGATGGTTATTGTGGGAAGCGGAGCACTATCTCTGCTCCTCTAGCAGTTGTCATGTTTTTCCTGAGCACGTTTCAGCGTTTCAGGGTTCTACGTTATTAACAAGTTAAATATTAAATAGTTTACAAAGAATTTGCTAATCATTAATACTTATGGTTATGCATCCTTTATCTGCTACAATCTCAATGGCTCCTCCACCAGCAACACTTCCTGGGCGATGAGCACATGAACCTAAGGTTAAAAGAAGTTAGAATTAACAGCAAAGCTACAAATTTTAAACATTTTATCTCAAAAAAAAGAATTATTTTCACCACTGATAGGTAACATTCGTTTGTCTTTGCATACTTATATCAACTCTCTTTCGAGTTTATTTGTTCTATTCTTTAGTTGTAGATGGGATATTTTCTGGTTTAGTAGTATAGTATGGACCGAATTGACCTTTTTAGGGAGGAATCTTTATTTGAGGTGGAATACCTTACCGTCGATGACGTCATAGCTTTTTGTCTTTAACTCATGCGGTGGAATCTCATTTTCTTCAATTTTGTATATTTCTAATACAATAGATTCAACAGTCTCACCTGACCTTGACCGGTTGAACCTGTTTATCATGTTCTTATGCTCTTTAACCGGTTTGAAAGATTTTCTAGTAACTTTTAGGGCAATGACTCAGTCTTTGTTTTTGATTGGTAAGCTAAGAAAACTTTTCAATGGTTGATTCATGTTGTCGAAGGAATAAGCTCGTGAATTAAAATCACTATCCACTCCTGTCTCCGCAAGTCCATCAATGAACACATTCAACGCGCGAGGTTTGGTCACATAATCTTTATGAGGAACTGTCATTGAACATACTCCACTAGCTCAGTGATGTTTGTCACGGGAATTATGTGTTTATTTCGAAATAACTGTCCGTGGGGACGCCAGAATAGAATATCTCTTGAAGCTGCCATGCTATACAGAAAATCAAAAGCATGCTCTTTACACACCGCTTAAAAAAAATTATTACAATTTAATGAAAAAGGCTTCAGGTAAGTGATAAAAAGAAAGGCATTGCCTTACAGACGGTCTGTAAAAGAGTCAAAGACCCCATAGAAGACAGATCATCTTCCAAAAAATATTCATATCATAAAAACTAAGTTTAAAAGACAGACAATTAAAAATTCAAAAAATGCATACTGAGATATGTACCAAAAAAAGCAATCAATAAAATAAGAATAAGAATAATTAAAAAACCTCACACATTTCCATCTAAAGACTCCCTAGACCACCACGTTTCACTGTGAAAATCCCTTTGAACATTGTGAGAATGCGAATGTGTACGAGAACATTGATCATGGGATGTACTGAGTCATGTAGCAGCTGCTTATAAGTCAGATACCGGCACCGCACAAACGACTTATTGACGCACTCAAGCAAAACTAATTATGAGAGAATGACTAGACAACTGACAAGTTGACTAACAATAATCGACTGTTTAACTGTGACAATAGACGGATCGAAACGCACCAATGACACTACGAGTCTTCATGGCCAATGACATCACGGCTTAACTGACAGACGACCAATAACGTCGCGACTTAATTGACAAATAGGTTCATACCGTCAACTGACGAAATACAACTCACTTTGACTCTGAGGATGACTACAACAATAACGGTCCTATTCAGGATCACATTCACCCGGACGATCATACTTACCCTACTTATTAAATGACTCCTAGGTGCAAACCTTTCACAGTCATAACTACGTGACTTACAACCAACGAAAGGTAAAAAGTAGTTACATCACAGTAAATCCTTCTAATATAGACCTGATTTGTCGTAGTGAGTATGCCTTAGGGTACAGTTATTGTAGTGTGCCCAGAGTTTGTCTTGATGTTACGTTTTTTCTTATTAACCAATTTCCATTCCAGCCCTCATTAGTACTTAGATCAGAACCACAAAACTATTTAAAGTGATAAAATAATTTATCTCACCTCCGCTTCCTCCTAATAGTGATACTGTGTCATTTTGATCATATGCTGGATCTGATTGTAGGGCTAACTTCGATGCCGCACCCAATGCTGTTCCGCCATGACTAGAACCAGGTATGCAAGTAGTGTCCAATATAAAAAAAGCGACTTTTCTGAGGCCACCAGGACCAATACCTGTAAAGAATTTTTATTGACTAGTACTTCACTCTGTCCGTCTCCATCCAGTTGTAAAAAGAAAGTAGCACACGAAATAATCAGACTGCCCCTTCCCTGTGATGGACTAGCATTCTGTTCGGGAGAGTAATACTGAGGACGCGACTTATCTCTTTTTTTTAAATTACGAGAATTTGATCAGATATAAAAGAAAAAAATTAGTCATTGAAATATCCTCGCTAAGTTTGTGATCATAAAGCAATATTTACCTGTTGTAAGAACATACCCTTTGCAAAAATGACCTTTAATTTGGCTGTATAAGACACTCACAAAACATATCAATAAAACGTTACAAAAAGGTGTTAATTATAAAAAAACCAGCATATAATTTAAAGTGACAAGGAAGGCTAAAGAAGCCGGGAGCTTACTATTGAATGTTATTCAAAAGGCCACGGAATTAGTGAAGACCAGCCATAAACGACCTGTTCCCTGAGCAAAGCAGTGATTAATGACTAGATGTAAACATCCTGCTTAGTAACAGCTGCTCTACCACTGAGTTATATTCCTCCTGTCGCTGTTACGTTAAACAAATTGTGCTAATAAATCGGTCACAGCTGGTATGACCTCAGACCTCAGATGTGGCATGAGTTCGATCCAATGTGTTTGGCATTTCCAAACGTTGAATCCCTCTGAACTATCAGATTATATCACACTGAGTTTCCAAGGAAACCAATTTTGCCTCGTATAGCTGAGTATGAATTTACTTCCGAAGGAAACGTTAAACAGACCAAGCGATTTACTTTTCGTAATTATGCCCTCTTATTATACCTTGTACCCACCTCCCAGGAAGTAAGTGTGAAACCAAGAGCAAACCAAATGCAAATGTGAGAAAGGCAAATAAAAGCATCTTCTCTTACCTTTATATACGAGTTTAGGAGGGTTATTGCCATCTTCCAAAGGCTTTACTGATGACTGTGTGAACCCACCGAGACATGTTTCATTTGGCACCATCTTTGTACACGTCATGTCAATATCAGTTTCTATTAAGATGTGTCCATTCTGACTTGTTATACTCAGACCATACTTTCCAGATACTTTGACTGTTGAACCGTTTCTGAACTCAATGTTACCACTGAACCTAATCACGGCAGCGAGATGTTCACCATGCGAGCTTGAGGAAGATCTATTTTCATGTGATGCGTTGTAATTACAACTGGGGCAGTTGTTATTAACTATGGATGGTGCAGTTGTGTTGATCTCCAGGACTTCACCAATTCCTACTATGAGATTACCGGCTAAAAAGGAAAACAAAAAGAATGTTTGGGTTAAATCACTGCTATCTCCAGCGACACAAGAAGAAATTAAACTTAAATATTATCCAAAAATTGAAGTCCAAGTGGTAGAACAAACGAAACGATAGCGAATAATAAAGGGGAAACTTCTATCGCGATATTGAATTGGCCCCAGGGCGAATAACCTTCCGAAATAAGGCATTCCTGTCTTCACCTCACTTTTTTTCTATCTTTAGTAAACTTAAAGGAATACTTCTGTAAACCCATAAACAGTCAGCGAGTTGTTAACCGGAATGAAAGTGGACAACGTTGGGTAACTCTACTAAAATAATCCCGTGAAGACTTTCACCGGCCCTGTGGATAACTTTTTCGTAAATTTTCGTGCACAACGGAAAATCAATAGCTATTCTAACTTTGGCAAGTTTCCATTAAGAGTGCCCGATTTACTCAATAATTCATTTGTGCATGTTCATAAAGGACAATCGTGAAAATATATCGAGTTCTATAATCTTTAGTTTCACATCATCGGTGAATTCAGTGCACTAATACAATTTGCATCCTGGATTATGAATACTATGAAACATATTTTCTAAAGAGATGCTGGATATGTGAAAACCAATAAAGCCTTTTTTGAGGTTCACGTCTTTAACATTTTAACTACTGAATTGCCGGTGATGTCCATTTAGTTTTACTCATAATTGTAACCAGTTTTGCGACTTGAATTTTCCGGAAATATCTTTGTTTCCCTCATTTGTTGGCAATTCCTGAGGGGACGATCATGACTTGTAATGGATATATAGTGTTCTCTCTTCATTTTTAAATATGGGAATAGATAGTGAAATTTCGTAGTCATGTGCCATTGTGCTTTAATATTTCTAATCAAGTTCAAGAGCCAACTTGAAGAAACGTTTGATAGATTTTATCACCAGAAATGGCGACCAATGGCTCATAAACTTTTCGGGAACCTAAAAACCAATTATTATCATGATGTTCAGACGTTTCAAGTTTCATTTCAATTACTATTTTGCAGTTTCTTAGCACTATGTTGAGTTTGTTTCCTTTTCGTTATAAACGGGACCGATAACGATGATAACCTGGGGGCCATGGGTTCCTTCATTCTCGATACATTATCATGGCAAATGTAACCTGCACAGGAAACTTAATGTGCCTGTGATTTTTAAAGAATTAAACATAACATTTGAGTGGCCTTAAAAACAGTAGGCATATTAATTTGAATAATGAACATTTTCCAATTCAAGTCGCGCATATGGGTACATCACTCTTTCACAATAGATCAAGCGACAACTCTTAGCTTTAAGCTTGTCCCCAACGGTCTTATTTCATTGAAATACTCACAGTTTACGGATGCTTTAGCAGCGGTGAAGAAACACTACGAGGAAAACAAAACGTGAAGTTACAAACTGTCAAATCAATGAACCCTTCTGTCGACAAAAAAGCTAAAAGCAAGTTCGATGCGAGAAAAAAATAGAAAACAAACCTGAAGTACGATATTAATGGATCCAGGGAACAAAATCAATATTCCCCACTTCATTTAGACGGATTATTGATGCGCAATACTAAACCAAAACTGGAACTGAAATCGTGGCTCACAGTATTCGAAGATGGGGTGTTAAATTAATAGTTGGCGCTTGCCTATTAGCAAATATAATAATTTTACCACCGAACATTAGGGATCTCTCCTGAGACACATGGTAAACATATATCACCTGCCTAAAATTGTTTGGTAAATTGCAAATTTGGATATGCAAACAAAACGCCTGAAAACTGTGAATGAAAACTGAGTTTAGGCTATTCAAGAACTTGATCACAGAACCGTAAAGTCACCTTTCCAGTAAAGAACATAAAATGTAGGGGATTCAAGGTTGTTAAGTGCCGTATTTAGTTGAACGGCGTTTGAAAATCATAATGATAAGTGGATATCTACCTGTGACGTTCAATAGTATTAGCATAAGGTAAGATTTCATTGGTTGCAATGGCAAAATTGTCTGTCGGATATGTTTACTTTTAGATTCTCCACTGATGAAATTGCACTCAGAACTTTTTTTAGAACAACTTCACCTGATCGAAAATCCTGCCTCCATATGCAAATTCCCTTTTCTTCAATAAACATTCGTCAAAGTCAGGTTTTGAAAACAAACTTACGCCTACCAATGAGCTTTACCTGGGATTCAAGAGTTTAATAAATCCAATTTGTTGCCTTAAAAATAACCTTCTTCTGGATGTGAAAAATTTAAAACCTCTCCTTGCTTTGTTAATCTTATGGATTTTGCGGAAGTTTGTGTTTAATATGATGAAAAACGCCATGAACTGTCCCAGATGTTAGGCAAACATCTCAAATTTTCCTTCTGCGGAGGTAATCGAAGTGAAACTTGTCAGTATATTGAAGTTGTCAATCCAGAAGCATATTTTTCCGTTTAGTTCTGTTTTCATTTTAAATGTTGGCAGGTACTTCTAAGGAATAAACGGACGGAGCTTTTTACATCACGTATACGGTTCCAATCTAGTTTTATCTACAGTAGAAGATTTAAAGTCTTTGTCTCCGTCTCGGATTATATTTAATAAAACAACTTTCATTCTAGAAGCAGGTTTTTCATTAAAAGCGGAAATTACAGATCGCGAGGCAAAGAATTATTGTGTTATGGCCAAAGCCGACTGGGCCGAACCGTTTTTTGCACAGAAGTTTTAATTATCAAATAATCAGCATGTGGGCGTGCTTGGTGCTTTAACCTTGCTCCTTATTGGATCTGCTGTCATCTTGAGGAGCGGGAAAAATTGCTTGCCTCTCTCGGCCAAGAATATTCCTCCTAGTGTGGAGAACTGCTAAAAAACGCAAGACTGAAAGTTTTGTTATATTTTGGTCAGTGATTTAGGACTCTGAATACTTGATGATTGTTGTTGGTTGTTGTCGCTTGACACATCATTTACACAAAAGTACCGAACAGAACGCTTTAGGATGTGCTAAAGATGAAAGCTACACTCCTCTTAATTCTTTCATCAGCCTTTTTATATATTTGTCTATATGTAAATTTTGTCGCAGACACCAGCTCAACAGCTAACAGAAACTAATTGGAGAAGCTAATTCTTTTCATCAACAATTCAGGGGATTGAATTTTTTTTTTTTATCTAGTTTAAGAAGAAGGTTCATAAGGACATCAGATGAAGCACTGTGCCTCCAATATAGGGGATTTGAATTAAAATTATCCTGCATAACTATCAACAAACAAGACTTGTCACTGTAGTTACTCGGACTCAATAGTATTAAGCATTATCAAAGTAAAGAAAGGAACTAAAAAAACGTTGTTATAGTTTATTCAAGGAATATTTGAAATGAAGATAAAGCTTAGGAATATAAAAGCGGAAATTATGTGTGGAGATCGTTCACCTTTTTGCGATAAAAACACGTAAAATTTATCGCTATATTTTCGCACAAATTTGAAAGAAATATTGTTATCATGGTTTTTTAATTAAGATTTACCATAACATGACTGTTGTCATAACATGGCTGTTGTCATTTTCAAGGACAAGTTCCGTATGACAGTCTTTGCGGGTACAGGATTTGACTGATGCCGGTCACGTTCAGCCTGCTGACACAAAACACCTCAATCTTTTCCAAGATAATTATTTTGGAATATCATTTTTAGCTCTGTCTGCGAAGATCCATCTCACATGACAATAAAAATGCCCAATTCCCGTTGTTTCATTTCGATTAACTAAAGGTGAATGTTGCACACTCTCTCTCTCCGTCAATATTGCAAAAACCAGTGACAAATCCTCTATCAGCAGATTGCCTTCATTTTTTGGCTCTAAAGACACACTTTACGTTTAATTTATTATATTTATTTTTTTCATTTCAAGCAATTTCTGTGGAACCTTCTTTAATATTTTGTTTATCTATAGCTGTCAACATTGTGACGCTTCCTGCTGTTCACGCCAAAAAGCTTCTTTAATCCAAGGATTGAACCGATACGCATTCTGAATTTCACATTTGCGCCAACTTAACCAAAGTGATGAAAACTGTTTTGTATTATTTTTGTCTGTTTATAGTGGCTCAATTTAGTTGATTCCTCCAATAATACAACCCTTTTTTGGCTAAATGCCACACTGAGAGACAAGCAGGTGATTCGCGAGATATTCAATACACCGAGCGTGTTAATTTATTGCAAAGAAAACTTAACAAGTGACTTCCTTTGCTAACCTCACCTTTTCAACTAAAACGTACTTACTACTTTATCTGTAAGTAAATGCTTTTTTAAGAGAAAACTTAAACATCTAAGTGTATCTGATCTGTTTTCTACGACTGCTATTTTCGGAACTCGTGCACTAATATATTATAGCACGCCACACTGACTTATCAATATATTTAAGGGTTTGGAAATTTTAAGATATCGTTTATCCAGAACATTCTGTGCGGTTTCATGCTGTAGTCAGCAGAAAAATATTTTCTTTTTCCACGAGAAACTAGTTCAAATACACAGAGAAATAGAAAATATCTGTTAAGTAATATTACTAGTAAAAGGAAAACTAATTACTCTCAGCTTTTTAAAGTAAGGCAGTCCGACATGAGAGAAAAACATATGGAATGGCGCTTTTTGTGTTATCCAGCATCCATATAAATACATTTGGCTATTTTTACTATATATGGTTTACTGATATTAGATATTCTTAAATATTACATTAGGACAATAGTTATGACCTGGTTATAAACAAAGTCATCGAATAAGCAACAAGAAAATTAAAATGCCTTGGTCATTTGTAAAAGTTGACTGAAAGTGTCAACTTCTTTTTTCAGGGGAGGAAGTGTTTCATTTAGGGAGTATTATAAACATCCGTCAGGGCTTCTTAAACAAATGCTGGTAGGCAGGTCTAGTTTCTTGCAGTTGAGAACTAAGATATTGATACTATGATGATTATTTGGTTATGGTCTTGTCAAAAAATATGACCGAAGAGATGGTCAGCGATAAAAGTTTCATAACATCTTTTGCAAACGTTAGACATTACTGAGCCACGAAAGAAAGTTTGTGGCTTTTCAGTTAGGTTAATGTTATGTTAAGTGAGTCATTAATTCTTTATAAGCAGAGGGGAAGTTATTTTCGTCCTTTTACAGATCCCTGCTTTATCAATTGCCGAACATTGTCTTAGCCAAGAAAACCATCATCAATTTTTTTCCATTTACTGCAAAATTATTGCTTTTTATAGTGTCGTCTTTTAAATTCGTTGAATCGCTTGACTTTAATAAAAGGACCGTTAGCAGCTGCTTTTCCAGAGCTCCCTTTTGAAGTTCCGTATCACACTGAGAATAAGCTGTCAAGTTCAATTTACTTAACGTGTTTTATAGGCCGAGGAACAAAGAGTTGCAAATATTACTATGGAAATTGCACTATTAAAAATTTGGCCCAGTAAGGTGTTATGTAGGCGTCTATTGTAGATATATATATTTTTTTATTGCAAATCTATCATCTGCTTCGAGCGATCTAAGTAAGACACAGAAGCAATTAGTCGTCTGGTGATGACTAATAAAATGGTATAAATTAAAAATATCGCTGCGCCACTTTTACGGTGGGCATTGAAAGGTCTAACTAGTAAAAAATGTAAATTCGGACCCTTTTCTCAAACATGCCAACTCAATAGGTGCAGTCACCCTAGACCTTTTCTCCAAAGCTCTCCTCTGGGTTTTGAGAGGGTTTTGATCAGTTTTATCTCTGCTGCTACACTAACTCCGACGAAATTGCGTAAGAAAATTGCAAGTGTAACCGCGCCGATTACTGCCCATGTCTAATGATCTGTAGTATCCAAATAACAGAAAGGGTAAATAAAGGATTAATAGTTTAATATTTCCATCAAACTTACAGAATTTGAAATATCTTTCCTAGTCATGTTGAGCAAAGCAGAACGTAACTACCCTCACAGAATTTTGCGGAAGCTCCCAAAATATTGAAATTAATTATTTATACACCCCTAACCTCTATTTTACGAACAGCCCTAAGGACACTTTGTTAGTCTGTATTGAAATAGTGAAAGAGATAATTTTCATTGTGTTTCAATATGATGAAATGATGTAGCCAGGGACCAGGCTCCGAACTGGGGGAAATGGGCGAATAACGAGGCGAGCGCGAAGAAAGAAGCCAACCGAGCGGTGGATTAAGGAGTTCCTCCTCACCAGTCCCTTACTCGGCTCTTTTCACTCGCCGATTTTTTGCGTCCCGTTATTCGTCTTCTCAAGGAGCCTGGTCTCAGATTAGATTTAATAAAGATCATTTATAAAAATATTTAAGAATGCATTAAAAAATAGAAAGTTTACTTTGCAAATGTGAATACAAGTTAATCGAGACAGTCTTAGCTTGTGACTGAGTTTTAATAATTACTTGTTGGTGTAGGTGACACTATGGGGGGTATAATATGGTTTCCGTTTGCAGTTGATTGTACTTCCCTTACAGATTGTCTCGATGGTCCCATCTTATTCCTCATCCATTTTCTGAGGTTACACACCCTCTTCAGAGGGAAATTAGATATTTATTGGCGGAACTGTTAAATTAAAAAGCGGTGTTAGTTGTTTGATGATTTCATCAAACGTTGGATAGAAAATAAGGGAAAATAAGACCTATTTGACATTAGTGGACACGTGTTCTGTGAAATCAATTGAGTCAGGTATGTATTTTACCACTAAGCAAGAAAAAAATCATGACTATTGCACCTTTTTAAACCAATGTACTGAACACAAACTTTAAAGCAATCGATATGGATCTTGGGGGTGGCATCAGTTGTTCCAACACGTTTCCGGCATTCGGCTTCTCTTTACCCTTTCAGAAGCTTAGTACGTTCTAAAGGGTAGTAAAAAAGACTTAGCGTTCTTAAGCCTCAATTATTCAAAAGAAATAGGTGCTTT